TGAGTTAACAATGAGTTAAATAATCTAACAAACGAGAATGGATTGAAATGAATTGAAATGGATTCAGATTTTCAGAAATATTGATTCACGAATGTTAAAATAAATGCTTTTCAATCCTGAACGCATTTTTATTTATTTATAGGAATTGCATAGAGCGTCTGTCTATGCCTTTCAATCTAAAAATAATATTAGCTTTTTCTGTGCATTATGAATACTGTTCAATTCGAAATTTTGAATAGGAAATGCAGTTTTTCAATCCAATTGCATCCAATTGAATCCAATTGAATCCAATTAAATTTAAAAAAAAGTATTCGTTATTTAAAATACGCGCATTCGCATAGAAAAAAGATTCAATCCATTTTAATCCATTTCTCGTTTGCTGGGAATGATAAGAACACTTTGAGTTAACAACGAGTTAAATAACAATAACAGAACACTTGTGCTAAAGTGCATTGACTGTCACATTGGAACGATTCGAACTGGGGTAATAGACGATCCGTTCTCGGCGTTTATATTCTGTTTCGGGAATTGACATTTCGCACTCGATGATAGCAGGATCCAACGTATTCTCGATGATGACGTTCAGCGATGTTTGAGGGTTACCCTTGTACCAGTCCGTTAAGGGTCCCAGATCGCTTTCACAACTGTTGCTCTCGATCCCATTGACGTAAAGCTTCAGAGACGGTCGTGGTAGAGCACCCATGACCACACATATTAAATTTACGTGAGTCTTATTAAAAGGATAAGTACGTACCGTCATGTTGCTTTCCGGCACTTAAAAATAAAAAAAGATAATCAGTCAATCAATCAGTTAAACAGTGTAAACGATCAATAAAAAAAACATGCTAGATTCAATTTCAAATTAAATTCTCTCGCAAACTTGCCATAAACAATCATCTTTGTCGAATTGCTCGCTTCATCCTGGTATGTGCTGATCGTACACGTGTATTCGCCTGTCATGTTTATCGTAACAGTCTTCAATCTTATCATTGAACACGAATATGGATTCTTCAGGTTTTCAGCCGGATATTCCGCAATTCCTTCGATGATTCCAATATCTTGTGGCGGTACTAGTGGCATAAATACATTCTATCAGCATATAATATTTAAAAAAATACTTTTTAAATATTTATTTAACTCAAAAATGTTAAATAAATATTAAAAAATGTTTTTTTAAATGTTGTGTGCTGATTTTAGGATAATATGTCGAATGAAATTAAACAAACGAGGTAATAATATTAAACAAAGTATCTTTTAATAGAATAATTTGGGGAAGAGAGCATTACCAAGTCGTTTATCTATAATCACTATTTGTTTACTAAATTTTGAAAATAATAAACTTACCAATTTCTTTTTTTTTCAAGGTTTGAAAGATATTAATATAAAAGTAAATCGATCCCTCATTATATTGTATTTGTGAGAAAACGTTGAAATTAATTATTTAAATTACTACAAAATTAATTATTTTTAATGTCCGTGTAACACATCAAGTTTCTTGTAAAAATTTATCAATACAGTCTCTTGTCGAGATAAAATCCTTATAATATTATTAATTCTAGAATCATAAACTATCGTAAAGTTGACGACGCGCATTTATAATTCTATGGTTAAATATGTAACTATAAACAAATTTTAATTAATAGTTATAAATTCAACCTCGAGTATCACACGCAATTTGAAAGAAATCTCCCAAAAAACACAAAGTTTAGTACAAATTATATAAAATCCCAAGCAGAACAACAAGTCACGATAATGTCAAAATGACATTAAAATGAATCGGGAATGATAAAATGTCTTTTAATAATCATTTTGTACATCACTTTGACGTCATTTCGATATCATAATGACTTGTGGTTTTGCTTGGGATCACTTAGTTAAAAATCAAGTATTTTTTACGCCTTCTGACGCAAGCGAGCAAATGTACGTATTTTATTTCGCGGCTTGCATTTTTTTTCTTTTTCTCGTTAAGGTCGCATACACTATAATAACTTCGAGCTACGACATTTCTCTTTCCACGGATAGCCGCGCATCGTTTCAATACGCTTCGCGATGTATCGCGACAGTTCCTACGTATATAACGCGGCCGCCGATAGGTAAATTTAATAATAGCGCGCAGATACCGCGGAGCCGACGTGTAAGTTATAACGGGATCGCGTGGGTGCGGGTAAAACTGCAAATTACTTGGCGGAATCCACTGATAGATTTGATACGCTTCGTGAAACCATTTGATTACAAGTCCGTTTTCATTTTCGTCAATCTGGTAGGCACAGGTCAAGTCCACCGGTCCGGTGCCGTTGCGCACAGCCATCGGCACGTCCAAAGATTTTATCGAAGAACCACGAACCCCTGCGAAATATTTTTCGACAATTTCATTATACGAACGTATAATTTCAAGTCGTAATATTCGTCAACGATAAATCCGACAATCGTCGCAAGGATCAATATCAATGAAAAATCATCATTCAACCGTCGTTCACACAGAGAAGTGGGAAATTTCCAGATTAATATTAGCTCGTCGCACGTACAACTTTACCCGGACTATTCTTAGAATTACAATTTCTTGAATCATACTGCGACATTACGACGCGAAATAACGCGCGCGTTTAGAGATGTTTGCCAAAAAATCAGGAAGAAATTCTAAATAAGTTCCGAGAGATCGGGAGAGTGGATAGATATAAATTAATAATATAATAATTAGAAGCCGGATAAGAACTGTAACAGAAATTTATATTAGAAATTAAATCTACGTTGCGTCTCCCTGGACTGAATATTACTCGGCCGTAATTCATTCCCGTATCGCAATCACCTCGATCGTACACTTTCGAATTTGAGATACAAGTTTGCACAACACTGACACACGTTCGAACGGGAGCGACGGTTTCCCGCGGATCGTCGCGGGATCGGTATAACTCACCCGAATAATACTCGAATATTAGGAGAACGATTAACGAGGGCGAGACCGTGCGTGATATCGACGGCATTCTTTCCAAGGTCCCTTTTCACACTGGTGCACAATTAAATACGGCTCGTCTAACTCATGTTACACCATAGCCGATACGATTCTGCGCAGCGTTAGGTATCGCTAGCCTCGTGTGTCCTACACACGTTCCGCAGACTGGCCAACGCTGGCCAACGCTGGGGTGCGCTCAGGAATTACGCCTAGGTAACTCTGGGCTATAGCTTGCGTTACGTATACTGTAGTAAATGTGTACATCGGAGTTATCTAAGCGTAATTCCGGAACCCCTGCGTCTTGCCGTCCCGCGGATATGAACGAAGAATCCGGAACGGAAGGAACTGATCCTTGAATCGGGAAGTAATTCTTTATAAAGTTTCTTTTGAAAGTGAATGTACAGGAGGCTCTCGAGACTCGCGTAGATACTGATCGACTTTGAAATAAAAAGCGAAGAAAATTAATGAAATTTACAAAGTAGTCGTAATTGCTGCAATAGAGAGTATTACAATCAAGATATCAGGAAAGAAAATTATATTCTGTTAATTAATTTGTCTACATTTCAATAATTACACACACACACACACACATATATATAATTAATTATATAATTCGAAAGAATATAATTATATATATATGTGTGTAATTATTAAAATGTAGACAAATTAATAACAGAAGATAATTTTCTCTCCTGAATTTTAACGTTGCTTTTTAAATATTATTAATATAT